CCCATTTTCTGTTCTACTTGCGGTGGCCCAGGCATGCCTTTTGCTTCCTGGTACACAGTTTTTTTTGCCTTTGTCTTTGTCTTTTGAGACAGAGTCTTGCTCTGTCACACAGGCTGGAGTGCAGTGGTACAATCACTGCAGTCTTGACCTCCTGGGTTCAAGTGATCCTCCCATCCCAGCCCCCTCAAGTAGCTGGGACTATAGGTGCGTGCCACTATGCCCAGCTAACTTTCTGTTCTTTATAAAGACAGGGAGGCGGAGGTTGCAGCCTGGGCGACAGAGCGAGACTCCGTCTAAACTCTATCTCACTATGTTGCCTGGACTGATCTTGAACTCCTGGTCTCAAGCCATCCTCTCACCTCAGCCTCCAAAAGTGTTGGGATTATAGGTGTGAGCCGTAGCACTTGGCCTCACACAGCTCTTTGTGTTAGCTCCCAGTGACCTCCAAGACAGATGCTCTTCTCCCTCTTCTCCCTCTATATCCATCCCATTTGGTCTCAGAGGGGAGTCAACCCGAACAGTTGCAGCTGGCATTAATCTCTTTCTCCTCTCTATCCTCAGTATCACAGATCACCCTACACCTGGTTCCATCATCATCATCATCTCCATCATAATATTTGTTAAGCACTTATTAGGCCCTAAATACTGAGCCAAGGGCTTTCCATCCATCCATTAATTCTTAGGACAACCCTCTGAAGTAGGTACCACTTACAAATAAATACCTGTGAGTCAGTTCCACTTACAAATCAGGAAATTGAGCCTCGAAGAGGTTAGAAACCTTACTCAAGGTCACATACATAGAGTGTGGCTGAGACGGGATTTGCCTCAGCCCTGCCTAATTCCAGAACTCTTAGCCTCTTCTCCACACTCCCTTCTGTGCCTTGCTAGAGTGACTGCCACCGAAGTTTTGTTTTCATGTTGCCACTCATCTTTTTGCTGTTATTTACCTTTGGCTCTACTGATGCCTCCTCTGCATAGTGAGTGAATCCTTTTTTAAGGGGATACTTTGCCCCACTTTTCTTTACATCTCACAGTGCTGGGGGATTGCTTGATTGAATCCACCTAATTCTCTCAGCTTCAAGATGCAGTAGAGAGAGCTCCATCTTCTGTTTCATCGCCCAGTCCCTGCTGGGTCAGGGTGGACCAGCATAGTCTGCATCCATTGCCTCCCTTTCCCTTTTCCATCTGCACCACATAACTGGATCCCATTCCAGTCCATCCCAAAGAAATGAGAGGAAACTCCCCTTAGTGGGCACTGCCGCTGGGCTGTCTACATCCCTCTCCCTGGTGCACTCCCCCAGCCTGTTTATCCACTCTCCTCACCTGTAGCAGCAGCAGCAGGAGCAGCAGTTAGGGCACCCCCAGAGCCCTGCCCCCTCCCCTGTATCTGCCACCCAAATATGTTGTCTGCTGGCTGGCCCAGGGCCTCTTCCAGTTGCCACAGGATGTTGCCCCACACATGTAGTCATCATCTCCCCACGAGGCTGGGCAGTTATTTACCAACATTGAGAAATCTTGGAGTTAAACATGACTGGGGGAACAGTTCAGGAAGATGCAGAAGTTGAAGAGAGACAGGCTGGCCACGCTTGTGACAGCTTCCTTCCTGCCATCATGATGTCACAGTCCTGATGGGAACACTTCATTGCTTCCCTTTCTGCACCATGGTGAGTCTAGGCCTACCCACCCAAGGTCCCCACTGCGTCACTCTCCCCCTCAGGCCACCAACCTCCTCACCACTGACCACTGACCCCTACAACCCACAAGCCTGAACCTCAATCTTCCTGTGAAATGGTACTGTGCAAACAAATATTGTTCACCCACCAAGGCCAGGCTCCAGCCTCTCTGCTGAGCCCGCCCTCTTTAATATCGGCCTGTACCATGGTTCCCAAGCACAGGCATGTGGCTTCACTAGGGAAATGTGGCACATGTACACACCTGGGCTCTACCCCCAGACATTCTGATTTGACAGATCTCGGAAGGGGCCCAGGAATCTGCATTTTAACAACAGCTTAGGTGGTTCTGTGGCAAGGAGTTCAAGTTGACCATGTCTACAAGAGCTGCATATAGGTAAGATGGATCCTGCAGCACATCTAAGGGGCTTAGGGGTTTTACCTGAGGACCAGGTGTGAGTTTCTCTGAGCATCCTGTCCAGGCATAGGCATGGAGACCACAGTTATAACAGTAATACCTGGTCGGGTGCAGTGGCTCACACCTGTAATCTCAGCACTTTGGGAGGCCAAGAGAGGTGGATCACAAGGTCAGGAGTTCAAGACCAGCCTGACCAACATGGTGAAACCCTATCTCTGCTAAAAATACAAAAAAATTAGCCAGGAATAATGGCACACGCATGTAATCCCAGCTACTTGGGAGGCTGAAGCAGGCAAATAGCTTGAATCCAGGAGGTGGAGGTTGCAGTGAGCCGAGATCGCACCGCCGCACTCCAGCCTGGACAACAGAGATTTGATCTCAAAAAACAAAACAAAACAAAACAAAACAAAAAACAAACAAACAAACAAACAAACAAACCAGTAATAGCAGTAACCATCATGGCACCATGGAATGAAGTCCTACTGTGTGCCAGGTGCTTTCTTTACTCAGGCATCTCCTTGGATCCTGTCAACATTGGGAGATCGTATAGTGGAGGTGTGTCATCTTTTGACTCTCCAGCACCAAACACCTTTTCCTTTTGGTGGAACAGGCCCCAATGTGTGAGTTTCACTCAGATGTAGAGCTCTGATTCCCCTTCTATTGAGGATGGAGACAGATATTCCTCCCACCTCTCTCCCGGCAGGTATGTTGCAAGCAGGTGACTTGACCTAAGCCTGGCCACATGCATGATTCTGCCCATAATCCCAGATCTGAGGCTGAGACACAAATGCAGGGCCAGTTGGAGATGACTTATTCAGAGGCAACTTAAGGATTCAGAGTCCAGGAATAGCATGGTGGCCTCCAGTGTCCAAGGCAGTAGCATCAATGGCAGCATGGCCAGAACGTCTCATGTGGCCTCTGCTGTCCATTCTCTCTTGGCTTCTGCCTGTTGTCTAAACCCAATCCTCCAGCCTCTCATTAACTCTGAGTTATTATTATCCCCTTAGAATTTCCTTGCTATTTTATACAACCACAGTTGGATTCTGTTGTTGGCTTCCAGAATCATCACTGGCATGGTTAGGCACAATCGTGCCCATTAAGGCAAGGAGGAATATTGAGTCCCAGAAGGTTAACTGAGTCACCCAGGATCAGACATCCTGCAAGGATGCAGAGCTAAGATTCAAACCCAGCCACTGTTTTCCTCCAAGGTCTGTGTCATTAACCGCACAACACTATTGTATCAGTCAAGGTAACAGCAAGACACCAGTGGCTCATTGAAACTGGGTAACTGAGGAGTACTTAATAAAGATGTGCTTAGAATTTAGGGAATCCAGTAATGGATGCTTCAGTATGCTGAGGCTGGCAACAGTGGTGGGTTATTCCCACCACTGGGCCTACAGAGGAGAGGATAGAGCAGGCGGCTGGACTTGGAGATGGGCGCTGTTTGTTGAGGGGTTTGAAGGAGACTTCAAAGAGGAATGTAGTCACTCCTGCTACCTCCCAGGGAAGGAGCCCCAGGACAGAAACCCTGACCTTACTCTCTCCCCACCCTCTGCTCTCCTCTCATCCTTACCATTGGCTCAACCAGCCAGAAGCTGGCAGCCAGGGAGCCTGCTGGTTTAGCCACACCGGTCAGGTTCCCAGGCAGGATGGGGAGGATGGAGTGTAAGTGCAAATGGGAGTCTCCAGCATGGTCTTTTGTCTTCCAATTTAGTGCATATAATTTTTCAGGTACATTTAATATGTCAGACTTAACTAACACTTGATCTATTATAAGTTAAACACGTTGGACTGTGCAGTGGGTTATGTCTGGATGAATCTGGATGAATGTGTCATGGGCTTTGGTAAGGAGTGTAATGCCATATTGGAAACAAGCTTGAGATCCACTAAGAGGGAGCTGTATACCAGGATACAGTAGGTCTGCAGGGGCCCCGGACTCTAAGCATTTGCTTTATGCTCCAGGAGAATCTGATGCAGTTGGTCTAAAGACGACACTCTGAGAAACACTGCCCTTGTCTGTTCTGCCTCTCCTGGAGTACATTTAGTGATCATACCCCTTGCCCCTGGTCACTTTGCCAACTTTATAAACAGGAGCAATGCTGGGATTGCTAAAGTGCTGGTTCCAGATCAGCAAACTCAGCACATGAACACTGCATGCTGTACGGTCACTGCCTCTGAGCTGCTTGGTTCTTTTAGGTAGGAAAATTAATGTGCTGAAATGAACAGCTTCTGTATCGAGTGCATCTGAGAAGATTCTCACCAGAGCACCAGGATGAAATAAATGCCCCCCTATCTTCTAATGGACTCAACATTGGGGGTTCATAAATCATCTCTCTGGAGTCAGTACCATTACCTGGGCAGGTTCTGATGGAGCAGCGTTTTGGGGAATGGGGAAGTCCTTATGTGATGGAGCGGGCTCGGGAAGTGGAAGCTGGATCTCCATGTGCAGTGAATTTTTTCCACAGGAGTGGTGCTCATTGTAAAAATACGGTTAGCTAACATGAGACACACTATGTGTGGAAAAGCATGATTACTCTTGGGAATGGAGGATGATATCTGCCCCGGACATCATTAAATTGGGCTGGAAGGACCCACCATCCTTTTCCCACCCATGAGGCCCCTTTCCCTTTAAAGCTCAAATAGGAAACAGCAAAATCTTGATTGAAATCTGTGGGAGATTGCCAGACACTGGTGGGTCTGAACACCTATCTACTTCGCAGGGGAGGGCACTGGAGAGAGCATGGAAACAGAAGCAGGTATTCCAGGGGCAGACTAAGAGAGGAGGAGGAGGGCAGAGTGGGGAAAAAGGAGAGCATATGGGGCAGCCTCCAGAAGCTTCTGTGGGGAGAACTTGCACCCCACCATCCCTCCCTCTTGTGTAATACTGGAAAAGAGGCATTTAGACACAGGCAGAACCCCTGGTTATTCTGTTCTATATAGCTTTGGGGTCCTTCAGGTAAGGAGCTCTTCAGTTTTCACTCCTGCCAGCAGGCAGTGGCTTATTCATGTGGCCTCGTTCTAGTCACATACATCTTTGCTTTCATGGGGCTATTTTCAGGATCCAGAGATAATCGCACACAGGATGTCTGATATTGTCTATCAATGCTGTCCCATGGATCCCATCTCATCCTGCCAGTATTTTCCCAAGACAAGATATTCAATTTAACTATTTTCTCTGAGAAAGATGCACTTTCTCACCATGAGGTCTTATTTCTCCGCGTTCCACAATCTTCAACACCCTTTTCTGGGAGTGTTGGAAAGAAGCACATATGAGCATGAAAACCAAGTGTCTGATGCTGCAGAGAGGAAGTCCCAGCATCGGGCAAGGAGGATGCTTCTGTAGTGGGAGCTCTGTCCAGGTCAGGCCAAAATTGTATGGTCCAGGGCAAAACCGAGCAGGAGAAGGATCAGCTGTGCTCTGCACGTCACAGCCCCCACAAGAAATTATGATGAAAAGCATTGAACTGTCCTTATTTCATGCAAACGCCAAGTGGCTGATGGCATGAAGGACCAGGCATGTTTGGGGCTGTAACTTCTTTTCCGAGGGGCAAATGCCCATCCAAGTGAGAAATGGGGGCAGTAGGCAGGAAGGTGAGATCCTGACTTTAGAAATAGCCAGTGATTACAGATTTAATCCATGCTATTAACTCCCCCCGACCTTTTGTCTCCTCTCTCTTGGCACAACTGCGAGATGGATGTGGCCGGAGGTCAGAAGATGTTCTCGTGGGTTTGTGGGTCTAGGGTCCAAATGAATTCAGTGTGACAGCAAACAGGACACAGAAGACCAGGCTTTTACTCAGGAATCCGCCAGCCACAAGAATGACAATGTTGAACACGGGAACCCTGGGGGCGAGAGGAGACTTAGCGCTACTGCTGACAAAGGCTCCCCCAACACGCACGCATTCCCTCTAGAAAACGCCTTCACGTCCCACTCTTACCTGCTTTGGTCCTTGCTGCACCTTTCCCACACTGCCTGACCCTGTGCCTTTCGCTTTGTCTCACTGCCAAAAACTGCCGATTAGAAATAACTTCAGTGGAGAGTATAGGTCCCTATCCAGGAGAGGCACTGGAGAGAGACGGTCGGGCTGATCAGCCCATCCTCCTTCCTGTGGTGTCGCAGGGAGAGGGGACCCTGACCAGGAAACCTGCTCTCTATTCTCAGCACCATGCTCTGCCTCCTGGGATAGTCACCTCACTTCTTTAGCCTCAGTTTCCTCAGCTATAAACCAAGAAGAATCCAACCCTCGTGAAAATCTCATCACGAATTTTATAGATGTTGGCGAAATGATCCTAAGCGTTCTGGATAAACATCATTAGGTTTCATAAGAAAGAGATGCAAAGGAGTGAAGGCACTTGGCCATGTCCATCAGCAGACATGCAAGCAGATGCGAGCACAAGGATGTGGCATGGTAAGGCACAGGGACAGACAGACGGCAATGGAGCAAAAAGTCCAGATGCAGTGTCAGTGCCGTGTGAGAACTTAACATCTGAGGAAATCAGAGGCACAGTGGGTAAGTCAAACACGGTGGCGTACACCCGCGGTCCCAGCTACCTGGAGGCTGAGGCAGGAGGATCATTTAATAAATAGTCTTGCAATATCTAGACAGCAATATAATTCCAGAGTAGTCTCTTCTATAGTTTATAGCATAGAGCAGAAGAAATCTTCCCCTTGGACTAAAATTTAAATAAAAATTTTAAAATCCAAGAAAAGTCACCAGGAAATAGAATCAAGCACATTAAGGAATAAAGCAAAGCAATTGATTTAAAATCAACACACACACCTATACACATGCACAAACTAGCCAAGAGGGACACGGCATGAAGGAGATAGAAAGCAGAAAACTGCCTATTTGCCTGAAATCCACCCCCAGCCAAGGGCCCTGCCTTGTAGCACAGGGGACTACCTTCCCAAGCCTGCCTGGTCAAGTTCAGCAACTGGTGGAGGACAGGGGGCAGGGATGAGGCAGAGAGACAGGCGGCGAGGGGCAGGGAGCCAGCGAGAGAGATGCTTGTTCACATGGCTGTGGCGCACTGAGCATCCTCAGCATTTGCCCCAATTCCAGTGCTGCATCCTGGATGTCCTGGCTTCTGAGCTCTGCTTGCTGCGCCTCCTCCCCAGGTCTCTCTGGCCAGTGCTCCATGTTATTCACTCTGAGTGCTCTACCATTGTCCTACACTGAGCTCCTGGGGGATGTCCACTCCCAACAGGCCAACTCCTGTATTTCTTTCGGGGCTGCACACAGGCTACTAACCCCCCGAAGGGCCAGAAATTCATGTGCTTGGCCTTGGTTAGAGCTGCCCTTGCTCAATTACTGCCCCTTATAGTGACAACTCCAAATGTGACCCAGGAGTCCCCAGAGCTCCTTTGCAAGACTGAGCCAGAGTTACCCTGTGAGACACCCCTTGGTTATGACACCCTTGCTTGGCTTCCTTCCCTTCCTGGTCCCGCTTCCTCAATGGCTTTGCCAGAAATCACTATCTAAAACATTTTTCTTTTTACAGGGGCTCGATCGCAGCTCACTGAAGCCTCAATCTTCCCAGGCTCAAGTGATCCTCCTGCCTCAGCCACTCGAGTAGTTAGGACCATGGGTGCATGCCACCATGCCAAGCTAATTTTTTATTTTTTATTTTTTTTGTAAACACAGGGTCTTGCTATGTTGCCCTGGCTAATCTCAGATTCCCAGGCTCAAGTGATTTTCCCACCTCAACCTCCCCAACTGCTGGCTGTGAGCCACCACGCCTACTACTAAGACATTTTAACAAAACTTTATGGCTTGCTTCTGGGGAATCTACCTAGAAAGAGTGTGATAGTGGGTACCTCCACAGTACCTCCCCATCCCAGGTTAGCGTCGCAGCTCTTCCATCACCTGGGCAAACAATTATCTGCATTAAATTCCTTCTTTTCATGGATAGATGTGGCGGCTCACACTTGTAATCCCAACACTTTGGAAGGCTGAGGTGGGAGGATCACTTGATCCCAATAATTCAAGACCAGCCTGGGTAACACAGGGAGACCCCAATCTCTCCAAAACTAATACAGAATATTAGCTGTCCTGGTGGTGCCTGTGGGCCCAGCTACTTGGGAGGCAAAGGTGGGAGGAGGTTGAGGTTACAGTGAGCCAGGATCCCACCACTCCACTCCAGCCTGGTTGACAGAGTGAGACCCTGTCTCAAAAAGAAAAAAAAAGGGGGAGAAAAAAGAAAAAATAAATAAAGTTTCTTCTCTTTTAACAGCTAGAGTGGCTTCCACTTTCCAGACTGGACTCTGGCTGACAGGATAGTTCATATTAGATTATATATGAAGTAAACAGATAAAAGAGAGATGCAGCTTCTAGTAGCAAGGCAGGAAAATAGGGTCTGGAGGCAGGGAACTTAAGGCCAATTCATGCTGAATCAAGGAGCAACACCGAGGTCTGGGGTCAAGGACTCTAAGACGGATTCAAGCTTACTTCCGAAAGCTGGATCAAAAGGAAAAAACTCCTGGGGCTGAGAGCGGGGAACCTAAGGCCAATTAATGCAAACTTTCTTTTTTTTTTTTTTCTTTTTTCTTTTTTTTGAGACAGAGTCTTGCTCTGTTGCCCAGGCTGGAGTACAATCGTGCAATCTCGGCTCACTTCAAACTTTGCCTCCCAGGTTCAAGCAATTCTCCTGCCTCGGCCTCCCGAGTAGCTGGGATTACAGGCACACGCCACCACATCCAGCTAATTTTTGTATTTTTAGTAGAGACGAGGTTTCACCATGTTGGTCAGGCTGGTCTTGAGCTCCTGACCTCAGGTGATCCACCCTCTTTGGCCTCCCAAAGTGCTGGGATTATAGGTGTGAGTCACTGCACCTGGCCAACGCAAACTTTCTAAAGCTAAACCAAATGGAAAAACCCCATCTCCCCATGCCCCAGTAGCAAAAGATTAAAGGCAACTCTCCCTACACCCCTCTCGCTTCCACCAAGTCTTAGATGAAAAGGGAGAGTGCCTTGGATCGGCCATTGGCCAAGCAAGGGACAACCATCTCTTGATACCCATAGTGCGCCAATCCATCTCAGGGTTTAGTTAGCCACAAATCAAATTCTTCATCTATATAAGGGTAACCAAGAGGAACCACACATGGAGTATTTAAAACCCAGAAAACTTTGTAACCGGCCCTTGAGCCGCTTGCTCAAGCCCACACCTACCCTGGTGAGTTCTTTCTCCCTTAAATAAATCCCTGCTTTCAACACCACGCGGTGGCTCATGACTGTAATCCCAGCACTTTGGGAGGCCAAGGCAGGCAGATCACAAGGTCAGGAGTTCAAGACCAGCCTGACCAACATGGTGAAATCCCATCTCTACTAAAAATACAAAAAATTAGCTGGGTGTGGTAGCACGCACCTGTAATCCCAGCTACTGAGGAGGCTGAGGCAGGAGAATCGCTTGTACCTGGGAGGCAGAGGTTGTGGTGAGCAGAGATCACGCCACTGCACTCCAGCCTGGGTGATAGAGCGAGACTTCATCTCCCCACAAAAATAAATAAATAAATAAATAAATCCCTGTTTTCACTGCTTCATTCCTTTATTACATCATGCGTCTTGTAGAATTCTTTGTTCAAAAGGCCCAAAACCCGGACGCTCAAGGCCCTCCTTCCTGTAACAGTAGGAATATGGGCAAAGGTTATGTACTCTTAGCTTACCTACTGCAAAATGAAAGTAGAAAGAAAACAAAAAAGCATTGACTCTTAGTGTATTGTTCATTTGATTTACTCCACAAAGATTTAATGAGCACTTTGTTCCCCAAACAATGTAATGGGGGAGAAGGCATTCCCACTACACATATGGAGGTGGAGTCTATAATCATAGAGAAATTAGGCCAGGCACCAGTTCACATGCACTTTGGCAGGAATATGATTTAACTCACACTATTTAATGATTGAAATTACCAAATCCATGTCTGTAAGCCTGCAGTGACACTGCTTTATTTATGCACCATGAATCACACTGAAAATTGTTTCCAATCTTTTGGAAGACCGTTGGTAGATGCCATTTGGATACAAAGTGATAGCAGTGCTTAAATCATCTCATGGAAATTTCATTTGCGTTAATTACTTAAAAGAAGAAAAATACATCTGCAAGAATATGTTTATCTCAGAGTTATCAACACTGTATCAATGTCTAAGAACAGGCAAAAGATTATGTAAGTTATGGCTTTCCCAATTGATAGAAAAGTATGCAGTCATTGAGATTATGTTTATGAAATTTAGGTAGCAGCATCAAATAATAATTTTAGCAGGAAAAAGAATAAAAACATTTATAATTAGACTTACTTCCATATTAAAACATGTATAAACATGAATAAAACTAGAAGAGAATATGAGAAAAAAGACAGACTAGTGGCAATGTGGAAGAATATTTCCTTCCTTGTTAATTCAATATTTAATGATAAACACATTCTAAGATAAATCAACATTTAATAACTGTAAAGAGGTATGTGATTGAGAAGTTAGTGGTTCTTAAGTTTGCCCACATATTAGAAATCTCCTGAAGATCTTATTAAAAATACTGAGGGCAGGCACAGTAGCTCATGCCTGTAATCCCAGCACTTTGGGAGGCCAAGGCAGGGGGATCACGAGGTCAAGAGATCAAGGCCATCCTGGCCAACATGGTGAAACCCCGTCTCTACTAAAAATACAAAAACTTAGCTGGGCGTGGTGGCACCACCTGTAGTCCCAGCTACTTCAGAGGCTGAGGCTAAGGCAGAAGAATTGCTCAAACCTGGGAGGCAGAGGTTGCAGTGAGCCGAGATTGCACCATTGAACTCCAGCCTGGGCGACAGAGCAAGACTCCATCTCAAAAAAGAAGAAAAAAAAATACTGAGATGGACCTCATCTGCAAAAATTCTGATTCTATTGGTCTATAACTGGGCACATGCAGCAGTATTATTTAAAAACCAATACTGCATTTAGCCCTAACGTGCGGCTCCTGCTGAGAGCTGTTAGGTGGACAATGTCTTCAGCTCTGGGTTTCTAGCATGCCTACTGAATTGACAAGGAAGCTAAAGCCAGAGAGGGCTCCTGACTCACACAAAGCCACAGTCAGTCAGTCAGGCCGACACCAGATCCAGGATCCCTCACTCAGAGAGTGCCTTCCCACTACCCATCAGGCCCCTGGGGTTGGATGGGGTCCACTGGAATTTGGAGAAGATGCCATTTCCGTCTCCTTAATACTAAGGTTGCAAGAAAGCAAGGAAGGTGAACTGGGGAGAAGGACAGCCTGGCTGAGAGAGAGCCTCTCCTGTTCTCCATCACCACCTCCTTCTTCCCTGGACATTTCTACCCAGACTAACGTGAGTCAGGTCTGCTCCTGCCCCACCCTCCCCTTTCTCTCACCTTTCTCCCCTTTCTCCCCACCCTCCCCTTCCTCATCCTCTCAGCACATGGACTGGGGAACAACGGGCTCTCAGTGTCCAAACCCGGGGCCCAGGGGCCTGGAAACTATACCTGATGATATCTGTCATATTTTTAATGTTGATTTCAGAGCCAGGCGTGGAGACGGTAGCAGTTGACTTGGGTGGAGCTTGGGTCACAGTTCTGGGGCTGGTATACAGTGGGCCCAGGGGCTTAGTGGTGGTAGGAGGAACATTATCCACATTCTGGGTAGAATTCTCATTGGAGACAGGGCTACTTGAAGAACCTGCAAGAAGACACATTGGATGGATGGATGGGTGGATGGATGGATGGGTAAGTGAATGGATGAGCAGATGGATGAGTGGATGTATGAGTGAGTGGTTTGATGGATGAATTGTTGGAAAGTGGGTGGATGGATGGATGGGTGGATGAACGGAGAGATGATGAAATGGGTGAATGGGTGGATGGCTGGATGGATGGATGGATGAAAAGGTGGATGAGTTGATGGATGAGTAGATGGATTGGTAGGTGGTAGGGTAATTGAAGCTGAGGAGGGAAATGAGCGTGGCCAAAAAGCAAAGATTATTATTTTTTTTTTTTTGCTAAAACCCAAGAAATACTGTGGGATCAGCCTGAGTCAGAGATCAAAAGAAGGAAAGAAAAAAAAAGGCAGGAGGGAGAGCAGAAAGAGGGAAGAAGAAAGAATTTTTTGGCATTGGTGTTGTTGGAAATGCATTTGACTTCTGCCCTTCACCAATTCATGTGCCCCTACCTTCTCCAAGAATAGTTCCAGGCTTACTTGATTCACTCTGCCTTTCATTCTTCTGGCTTATAGTAAATCACTTCAAAAGTTATATTTTATTAATACATTGTGTATGCACCTTGCCTTTCTCAGGCTTAGAATTCCCCAGGTCCTGGAAGCTTGAACCTGCCTCCCTTTCCTCTGTCTTTCACAATTCATTCCTTAATGCAACATCTACTGAGGGCCCACTTTGTGTCACAAACTACATTATGTGCTAAGGGTGCAGAGCCCAGGAAGGCACAGGTGCTTCCCTCAAGCAGTTCTGAAATGAATAGGGGACAGATAAGTAAACCGGCCTCTCCTATCCTGTGAGATAAGAGTTGTGTACAAGGGGACACAAAGTGAGCTCTGGAGACTTGCTCCCCCAAAATGGGAGCCACGGACCATCAGCATTGGCATCATCCGGGAGATCACCAGAGATGCAGACTCTTGGGTCCCACCCTGTACCTATTCAGTTGGAGTCTGCATTTGAAATAAGATCCCCAGGTGATCTGTGCCCACAGAAAGATCTGGACTGCTTCAGAAGCACAGTTATGCCACCAAATGCATCCTCAGGAGGGGAAGTCAGGGCATGACTTCTAAGTGGAGAACAGGCAATGAGACTAAATTATCTTAAATCTACCACCCACCTTAGTTGTACCCCAATTCCTACCACAACACCCCAAATTAGTCTCTGCTATCCAGGGAGAATCTCATGCATGGAAGGTTCTACTTACTATTGGACCTCAGATGAGAGATAAGGAGCTTCCTCCCGGAAGGAAGGAAGGAAGCTCCTGATCGCTCATCTGGCTGCTAGGAATCCTGAACGCCAGCTCTGCTGATGCTACCACCACTCTCCCTCTCCTCACCTGGCCTTCCTTTCCTCACCATTCCCAGGCCACTCACCCCTGGCCACCACCAACCGGACGGGATAGAACAGCATGTGAGGTTCCTTGGGATCCTGGCAGATCACACATCGATATAGTCCAGAGTCTTCCACTTGGAGGTTGGTCATTTGGACACGCAATAAGCCATGATCATGGTAATCTTCTAGTATGATCCTCCCCACTTGGATCAAATGGGAATTCTCTGAAGGCATCTCTGTGGTTGCCAGGGTCTGGGGCGGCTCTTTTCCCTCTCTTATCCTCTGCCAAGCCTTCTGGCTGTGGTCATACATCCCTCTCCCATAGGGACAGTTCACAGTCAGGGTCTGCCCCTCTTCCAGATCAAACCTTTCCTCAGTTAATTCAGTTGCAGCTTGAAGTTCTATAAGCAGGGAAAGAGAATTGGGTTCTGTGAAGAATTATTTTTCTCTCTGTGGGGGGAAAAAGGAGAGGAACCGCCTGTTTTTCTTGTCCAACCACCCCTTTCAGACAAAGTTCTCGAGGTCTGCATAGAAAATACAACTTTCCCTGCAAGCCAGCACTAGACCTCAGATCTTTTCACTATGAGTAGGTTTTTTTTACTCTAAGAGTAAGATTGCCTATGGTCCATGAGGCTCAAATTTCATAAATGATCAGGAGAGGAAGATGGACTTTGAGAGGAAGAAACCACCTGTCTGGAGGCAGAACATGGGACACTGTGCTAAGCCCACAAGTGCTACAGCGTGGTGGGAGGGGAAGATTACAAGGGTGTGCAGCATAAAGAGTGAATGCAAAGACACGGTGCTAGCAGAGGGTGGCTCCAAGGACAGCTTGAGGAACTTCACTGAGTCAGGAAGAGAGATGAGTTCAAAAGACCATTGGACAAACAGTGAGGAAGCCATCTTGAAGGCAAGCCATCTGACTTCCTGGCACTCCTTTCTCCCCTCCTTGGATAGCAGAGCACCTCTTTCCAAGGGAACCATCCTGTGTGGCTCTACTGTTGGGGCTTTCCACGTTCTTAAGGATGGACACAGGACACAGGCTTTGCCAATCAAAGTACCCTTTTTCGGGGCCAGGCACCGTGGCTCATGCCTGTAATCCCAGCACTTTGGGAAGCTGAGGTGGTAGGATCACCTGAGGTCAGGAGTTTGAGACCAGCCTCGCCAACATGGTGAAACCCCGTCACTACTAAAAATACAAAAAATTAGCCAGGCATGGCGGTGCATGCCTGTAGTCTCAGCTACGTGGGAGGCTGAGGTGGGAGAATCACTTGAACCTGAATGGAGGAGACTGCAGTGAGCCAAGATCATGATACTGCATTCCAACCTGGGCGACGGGGAGAGAACTCTGCCAAAAAAAAAAAAAAAAAAGTACCCCACCTCTTGCCAAGCTGATTGGTTTAGGAAGGGGCACATGGCTGAACTGGACCAATCAGAATCCTTCCTGAGACTGCTGTTGCCATTAAGAGAAATGCTTCTTGCTGGGATTGACAGGTCAGTGAGATGTGAAACTTTATTATGTGAAACTTTGGGCCATGTGGGAATAGGCTGCCTGAGAACGGCTAAACAGGCAGAAAGAGAGTGGGAGAAAGGGAGATGGGGGAGAGTGCAAGGGTGACGGGGGGAGAGTGCAAGGGTGATGGGGAAAGAGACAGACAGAGAGAGAGAGAGAGAGAGAGAGAGAGAGAGAGAGAGAGCACCCCACATTATCTGAGTCAGAGACTCAGCTGTGCTCCAGAGGAGCACCCCTTGTACTTCCCAGTTACCTGAGCCAAGAAATGCCCCCTCCTATTTTTGATGTCAAGGAGCCAACAGCAGTGGTTCTCCACTGGGGAGTAACTTTTGCTCCCCCACCCCTACAACCCTCCCTGAAACACTGGACAATATCTAGACATTTTTGGTAGTTATAACCAGGGAGAAGGGTGGATACTACTAACATCAGGCCAAGCATCCACAGCGCATGGGACACAACAAAGAATCATCCCATCCCAAATGTCGATAGTGCCAGGTTTAAGAACTCCTGGGTTACAGTGACAATAGTTTCCATCTCATTCTTAGAGGTTGTACTGGGTTAACCATCTAGAACTGGGAATGGTCATCTGGTCTCGTCCAAGGGAGCCTTGCCGATGGGAGGCTAAGCAGAGTGAAAGTGAGAAGACCCAGGTCCGTGTTTTCAGCTGGACACACGGGGCTCTCGAAGTTTGCGAGAGACTGTAGTTTACTCACTCAGGCCTGGAGTACCTTCCCCCAAGGAGTGCCAGATAACAGAGTGGACAGTGCTGCTGGGTCTACTGCATGGGTCAGGGTAACACTAGCACTGCTGTTACTAATACCACACACTTAGATCCTTTCAGGCCTGGTGAAAAATGACAAGCACTTCCCCATTCATGGAGGCCCTGGCATGCCCACCCCAGGACAGGCCAACAGATCTGCCTAACCTTAGGAAGACCCAATTCAGGAACTGGTGAGGATTTTAAAGGTGAAACCAAGCTTGAAAGCCAGTTCTTCTGGGAGCAGACTCCAGTTTCTAAGGAAAACTTGTAAACAGACCTCCCGGGCAATTCCCACAAATTCCAGTCAGGAATGCCCCTCCAAGAGGCAGCTGAGCAGAGGCTGAGTGTTGTCTGAAACCAAGCCTGGTTTCCTCATTCGTTCAATCGCTCATAAGACAGTGGCTGAGAGATTTCTCTATCACAGGCACTGTGTTGAGCTCTTTGAAAGACACACAGACTCCATTCCCAAGTTGCCACCACTGAAGCCCTAACCTCTGAAGTTAATGTTACAGATAAATCTTTATTTGCCAACTCCCCAGGGAAAGTGTGAGTTACAGGTGACTGAGTTTGCAAACTTGCCTGTCTTTCACAGAAGGAAGGAGACAGTAAGAAGTGAAGGCTGCTGAGCTGTCTGTGCACCATTGCAAGAGGGGAATTCCTTAGAATTTGTTAACTAAAAGGGTAGCAAATACTACCTATTATTATGTGCTAAATGTTTTTAAAGACTATCTTATTTAATCTCTATAATTTAAAAGGTCGACACCATTACTCTCCCATTTTATAGTTAAGAAAAGTGAGGCACAGAGAGATTATGTGATTTGCCCGAAGTCTCACCATAGTAAAGTGCTAGAGCTAGGATTCAAACCCAAGGACTCTTGTTCATCTAAAGCACTGAGCTACATGGCCCAACACAGTCTGATAGGGATTAGAGCAGTACTGGCCCAAGCGTGAATAGGCATCCAGTTGCAAGGAACATTCAGGTTAACCCCTAACCTATTACCACAAGGCACAATGAAATATGTGCCACTGGTTTTCTCTCACACAAGTACACAAACTTCAGCCCTCTGCCACCTCCCACGTCGCCTTCAGAAAGACACGAATCAAACACAAGGAAATGCACTTGTCCATGAGGACCTAACTCCCTTCTGCCCACCTAGATTATCATCCCAGCTCCAAGAAGACCCAGAGCAACATCTGAGCACAGGCTCCAAAAGGCAGTTGTGCATGACTTTGCTCAAAGCAGAGGGCCCAGAGGAATACCTCTCCTTGATTTTTCATGCCTTCCCAAGGCAAGCCTCGCTTTTAACTCATATTGACCCTTTCCTCCTGTTACTCATAAGGATTAAGAGGAGGAGTGAATAAAGCCCCCCATGCTTCTGGTTTTGGTGCAGATGTGAGCTGTGCAGATCACAAGGGGAGAGACAAGGAAGGGCTGGGGCATGGGCCAGCTCTGCCGAGCCTCAGCAGCGGTCACCTCCAACCCCAGCGTGCCACGAAGAGCTGGGATGATCACCTCCTCCAAAAAGAGAACCAGCCTCTTCTGGTCACATCTGTGTCTTCTGAAGCGAATCCTCTTCAGCAGTAGTACATTTGCTAGCCCATAGTAGACCCCTGGGAAATATTTGTTAAATAAATTCTGTCTTTTGGGTTTAACAGGTTGTCAACATCTGTTAAAAACACATCATGATGGACTATAAGAAACACATCATGATGGAATATAAGAAAAAAAAATTCAAGGCCGGGCGCAGTGGCTCAAGCCTGTAATCCCAGCACTTTGGGAGGCTGAGGCGGGTGGATCACGAGGTCAAGAGATCGAGACCACCCCGGTCAACATGGTGAAACCCCGTCTCTACTAAAAATACAAAAAAATTTAGCTGGGCATGGTGGCGCGTGCCTGTAATCCCAGCTACTCAGGAGGCTGAGGCAGGAGAATTGCCTGAACCCAGGAGGCAGAGGTTGCGGTGAGCCGAGATCGTGCCATTGCACTCCAGCCTGGGTAACAAGAGTGAAACTCCGTCTCAAAAAAAAAAAAAAAAAAAGAAAAAGAAAAAAAGAAAAAAAATTCAACATGAAATAAACTCATTTTAGATCATGCCATGATGAGATTTACTCTATCATTATTCCCAGGCCTGGCTTTGCACGTCCCTGACAACATCGACCTGCACAGACATGTTGTTTCCCTGACTCTCTCCTCCTTTTATTTTTGTGTGCAGACACTGCACATTCTCCCAATTCTGCTAAGTTTGGGTAGAGCAGCAAGGTCTAGCATAACTGCTGGCTGGCTCTATCTTGGATGGCCCCATGCTCTAAATCTTCAATGGAAAAGGGCGCCCCAAGGTCCTGAACCAAACGCCTCCCTGGCTGACTCCTCTTCCTGGTCTTACGTGAGACAAAGAGCATCCACAGCAGCCCGCAGCGCCTGGTCTTCCTCATCCTTCCCGTGCACCAACTCCAACTGCTGCTGAGGGCTCCCGAGACAGCTACAAAGCACCACACTGACCTAGAGGCTCCGGAAAGTTGTGCAACAGGATGTGAGGCCATTCCTGGGAGGCACTGAGCCTGGACTGTTTCATCACCGATTGCTCTGACTCCAGACATCAACACAAGAATCCAGAGACCAGGACTCACTTCTCAGTTAAGTTTCTTTGAATGCCAGTTCTCCTTTCTGTGGTAATAAAGACAATTACCTTTCAACCTCATAAAATCGAAGGGAGAATGATACTTGAATGTAAATCAAAGTAAGGCATTAATATAGGAAGGGGAACAGAGGGCCCTTTGCTCTCCCGCGGCCCCCTCTCCGTTCACATCCAGTTTCGTGTAATGAAGCAAGTCAGGCCTAGAGGGACAGGCTGGGAAAATCATATCTCATCTTAGGGTTTTTGTGAGGACATTTTCTACGTCCTGACCTGCTCAGCCCCGCCAGTCCTCTCGGCTTCTGCTGACCTGGGGTGTACCTCCTCTTCATCACCAGGAGGGCCACACCCTTCGCTTGTCCTCTGCATTGCCACAGACATGGCCTGGGAGCTCACAGGGATGCAGGAACCCCAGAGACCGTTTGAGAGGACACTGCCATCACACAACAAGAACAGACTTAGATTTTAAAAGGAAACCAGTTTCAAGCCACTGAAGAAAGAAGAAAAAATCTAGCAGATTTTGTACTAGAAGTAATAAAAGGCAGATTTGACAGTGTGAAAATCAGATCTGTAACAGAAAGGATTTGCTTCAGAAACATTCCCAAATGTGAAATGAATAAAGACATTTAGCAGAGCTCAGAAATTTAAGGGAGGACAAATCACAGGACTCCAACCTATAAATCAGAGACGTTCTTAAAGCCTAAATGGAGTGGTGGATCACAAGCAGGATGAAACGTTTATCTTAAAAATATGCTTTCCAGGTCTGAGAAGAAATCTAAAATCGGAGGTTGAGAGTTCAACATGGGAAGGAAAAAATTCATAAAGTGAGACCTAGAATAGGAAGTTGCTAGGTGAAAATTTACATTTAAATAGAAAGACTCCTGCTGTTAACCAAAACTAGTAATAATAACTTTGTTTCTTCAAATGAATTGAAATAATCAGGACTCAGATTTCTTCTCCGAGTAACAAATACCAGGAGAGAGGAGGATGAGGTATAAAGAACATTGTGACCCTAAAATTTTACACCCAAATTGATTGCTACTCAAGTATAGAAACAGCTAAAAGGTACTGTCATGTCTGGAAATTAAAACAAACAAGAATCAAAAAACTGTCAAGGCTAACTTTAATTTTTTAAATTAAAACTGTTCAATGTAGCAATTTATAAAATATAGAAAATCAATAAACAAATCATATTATTACACTTTACAGAAATCATTTGTAGTGGAGATTTTACTATTTTATTTTTTGTTTTATAAATAATGTCAGTAAACAGGCTTCAAACATACTTGAATTGAAATCTGCTGGCCCCTCCTTTTGCTATACTCAAACAGTCCCTAAAGAGGAAAAGCAGACAGAAAGGTCTTGAAATTTTCTGACTCAGAGAGGAGTCTACGTGATTTCTGTGGTGATGAGTCACCGTAATACAGTTCATTTCAGTGAATAAATCCCTTTTCTTAGAACAAAATTAATATTCCACACTTAAATAATAGCGATTTGACATACTTTCTACATTTTTTTGTCTTCACATACTTTGTGTAGAGGATTAAGTTCCTGGAAGATTAAGAGGGAGCTTTGAACTAAGTCCAGGAAGGATTTCTAATTAGACTTGAATATCACTGGAGACTGAGTGCTCCTTCACTTTCTAACTACAGACAGCACCTGCATTTAAATTAGAAAAAAGTAGAATGAAGTCTTTCACCACTTGTCTGATCTGTGTGTGTACTTGAGGTCAACAGTGTAAATAATCATGTGTCACTTAATGATAGACATATTCTGAGAAATGTGTCCTTAGGTGATTTTGTGTTGTGAGAACATCATAGAGTGCACTTACACAAACCTAGATGGCATAGTACATGTAGGCTGTATGGCATAAGCCTATTCATATTAGGAAGGGGAATGGAGGGCCCTTTGCTCTCCAGAGACCCCCTCTCCACTCGCGTTTGGTTTAGACAATTACCTTTCAACCTCGCAAAATCTAAGGGAGAATGATATGTGAACATAAATCAAAGTAAGGCATCTTCCTAGGCTGCAAACCTGCACAGCATGCTACTGTTCTCAATACTGTAAGCAATTGTAACACAGTGGGAAGTATTTCTGTAGCTAAACATAGAAGAGGCAGAGTGACAATATAGTATGATATTTTATATATATAAATATATATACTTATATATTTATATATTATAGATATATTTTATATATTTTATATTTTTATATATTTATATTTCTATGTTTTATATATTTATATATATTATATGTTATATATATTTATATTTTTTATATATATTATGTTTCTTTTAATATTTTTTTTCTGGGCCCAAACAACTGTACACTGTTTATTGAGAACACCCGTAGATGGAAAGGAGGGATGCCCTGTACCGCACTGTGGCCACCACTGACTGGGAGCCAGGCCCAGAGAGTGCTGGCAGAGCTGGGGGTGGGCTTCCCGTGACACACTGACCATCTCAATGAGGAATGAGAGGACCCTGCCTAAGAGCCTCAGGTGGGGACTGGTTGGCCTTGACCTTTCAAAAACAAAGGGTATGGGTATGGGGACTATGAAAAAGTTGAAACTCTAAGGTGTTTTTTTAAAAGGTCCTCTGATAGCATCTGCTCTCCAGGCCCGACTGACAGTAAGGGCCTCAGGCAGGCCGACAGGCAGGCCAAAGGCCTCCAGGGAAGATCAGTGGTTTGGCTAAGATAGTCAGCTGCACAAAACTGACCAGTCACAAGCACCCAGAAAAACTTCATCCATGCTCTGGCAGGACAGGAAAGCACCTGACCCCTTGAGAATATACAAATACTTACCATATTCTCTTTGCTTGTTACAGAAACAGTTAAGAAATCTTACAGCAGATTATTTACAAGCAGTATCCCCGGATATGATGAAGGCACAGGTGGACTGGGTTGGAGGATGGAATCTGTGGGGGCAGAGCAGCCATAGCAGCCCAGATGATCCCAGGCTAGGCCTTCTCCCTACACTTCAGGCTCTGCAAGGCACTGGACTCTGCTGTTGAGAAGGTGGCTTACTTCTCCTTGTGGAGGAACCTCATTTTGTTGCCCAGACCTTGGAGAAACTTATTCATTCGACTCTGCTCAGTGTCTGGGAGTTCTTCTAAAGTACTGCTCCACTCACTTTCTTAGCTCCGTCTTGGATGAAGCTAGCAAACACTTGAGACTTCATAAAAACCTCGAGAAAGCGGCAGATGCTTTTGGAGGCCACGGAATTGTGGAAAGCCTCTCGCTGAAAGGCCCTCTCTCCCTTCTCATTCTGTCATGAGCATGTTACATATTACATGCAGGTCATATGCAGGTCATATGGATGCCAAATGCATGTTAAATGTTGCTTGCATGTTATGAGCATGTCACATGTGTGTTATGTTACATGCACATCATATATGTATATGTGTTGTGTCGTATACATGTTATAAGCATGTTCTATACATGTCGTATGAATGGTGTTTCGTGTGTGCCTTAGATATGTTACATGTAACATGTATGTCATACCTGTAATAAGCATGTTAAATGTTGCATGCATACCAAACACGTGTTGCATGTTATAAACATGTATTTTACATGTTGTGTGTATGTTTATGCTACATGTGTGTTATGTGCATATTACATTTTACATCATACACATGTTATATGTAAGTTATAGGTTACATACATCTTATGGGTGTGTTATATATATGTTATGTGCATGTGATGTGTGTAATATGCATGTTATATATGTCTTGCATGTTCTGTGCACGTCACATGTCATGTGTATTATATACATGTTATATGCATGCTATATGTTGTTATGTCATACATTTCACATACGTGTCATACATGTTATATGCACGTCATGCTTGTCATGAATGTCATATTCGCCATGCATGTCATACGCATGTCATATATCATTTCTCATACGGTCATGTGTATGTCATACATGTCATATATGGCATAGATGTCATACGCATATATTTGTCATGCATGGCATATATGCATGTCATACTTGCCATGTCATATGTCACACCTGTCATGCACATCATATTTGTCAACATGTTATATGCATGTCACATGTATGACATGTATAAACGTGAATATGAATATAACATAACATGTAACATGGATGACGTGCATGACTTATAACATGTATGGCAAATATGACTTGCATATAACATGTATGACATGCATATATGCCAGGCCCATGACAAATATGCATATGGCATGTGACATGTATATGTCATGTATATGACCTGCATATGGCATGCATATGACATGTGTGGCGTGCATATGACATGTGTGTGACACGTATGAGCACGAACATGCATATAACATGTGTATTACATGGCTGCAGTCATGACATAACATGTATGGTATATCTATGTTGATCTATGTCACATCTGATATCTGTCATATTGTCTGTCATATGTCATACCTATGTCATCTATGTCTTTGCTTATCTGTCATATCTATGTCCTATCTACATCTTATCTGCATATTTATCTCCTATCTATGTTTTATCTATGTCCTATCTACACCTTATCTCTGTTCTATGTCTGATGTACGTCATACCTACATCCTATCTGTGTCTTATCTATGTCATATCTATGTCGTATATTCGTCTGATCTGTCTTACTTATGTCATAACTGTGTCATATATAGTCCTATCCGCATCTTCTCTATGTCAAATATATGTACAACTATATCATATAGGTAGATGTATGTCACACATGTACATCTATGTCATGTATTTATATATGTCATATACATGTCACATATTTATATAAATTTCGTGTATATTTGTGTGTCATATATACTTTTATATAAATATATATT